GATAGAGAGGGAGGGGGGAGGGAGGGGGAAGGGGGGAGAGAGAGAGAATGGTTGCCTCCTACACCAGCCCCGACCAGGGTCCGGGATGGAACTTGCAACTGAGATAATGCCCTTGGATGGAATCGAACCTGGGACCCTTCAGTCCACAGGCTGACGCTACAATCACTGAGCCAAACCTGGGTGGGGCAGAATATATTATTTCAGTAGTAAATCAAGGATTTAGAAAATGCATAGGTGTTTTAAGCACCTTCAGACTTGATGAAGATCTAAAATGGGTAAATTAAACAATCATGTAAAGAGAACTTAATGATGAGCCAACTATAACGGCAGTCCAAATTTATATGTATTCTTTTATTTTATTAAGTAGAAGAAATAAAACATTTAAAGACAAATTACCCTGTTATAAAAAGGCATTTAGTTATAATAAAACTTCCAAAAAAGTGGTATTTTCCTAAATCTCAAATTTTTTATTGTTTAAAATTTATATTAAAATTTAAACTGGTTACTGGGTATTAGGAAATAATAATAAATTATTCTTTCTGTTCATACTTGTCTTTATCTTTTTTGTGAGTACTCTAAACTTATAGAAAGTTGGTTCTGCAAAAGAATACAAAGTGCATCAATTCAATACAAAACAAAGTATTAAAAAAATTTTAATACATAAAGAAATACAAGGCAATTAAAAATCCTATCTAAAAAAACCCAATAAACTAAAAACAGAGCACTTACATACTTTGAGAGGGAAAAGGTACCTAAATAGTGAAATTTAGAGCTACTTGTTTAGGAACATCTTTTGGTTTATCTTTTCACAAAAGTAATTACCGTTTCATTGGGTGCGTGTTCATCTTTTGCTTGTTATAAAGCAACCTGTTTGCAGTGCATGTTACAGCTATAGAAGGATCAAGACACAGTGGTTCAGTTGTAGCTAGGATCAGTTGGCTCTCAAGCAAAAGTTTGTCTTCCTAAAATGTGTAAAAGCACATGTCAGCACCAAACTTAGGATTTTAAAATCAAACATATCACTTAATCTAGAAATATTCCTTGGAACTCTGCTAAGGACTACAGTAAAATATACTATTTCAAGTTCCAATTCAGTGGGTAAACTTTATAAACTTGACAGCATAATGAAATTTCTAATGGAAATTCAGTAATTAGTACAGTGTACAAAATAGCCAAACTGTAAGGATGCCTATTCCTTAATCCAATAAATATCTACTGAGCACCTACTACGTATTAGGCATTGTTCTAGGAGTTGGGGATAAAGTAGTGAACAAAACAGATAAAATCCTCTTTTACGAAGCTTATAGGATGATCAAGATGGATCACATAATTTTCAGTAACTAGGAGATATGGTCACATTCTATACTCAGCTTCATTTTATTATAATAAAAATGACTACACTATTACTGCATAAACCCTAGATACACAATTCCAAAGAGTATACAGGCTTTTTATTGGCATCATGTAACTTACTTTACTGAATCTTATTTTTTTCGCTTAATCTCTGAAATGTTTTAATAGCTGCAACCAAATGTTTAAGAATCAAATGAGTTAGTTAATATTGTAGAATAAAAACTTTTGCAATTAAAAAAACATTGCTTCTTTCAATAGTTCCATTCAACTTTTTATTATGAAAGTTTTCAAAAATACACAAAAGCAGAAGTGTAATGAGAATCATGTACCAACACCCTATTTCATTTAACTACTTGCCCCTCTAGCTTTTTGTTTTGTTTTGTTTTGTTTGTTTGCTGGAGTAATTTAAAATATATCTCTGACATTGTATTATTTCACTTGAAAATACTTCAGCATGCACTGCTAACTGGTGAGGACTTCTAATATCCAGTCTATAAATTTCCGACTATATCAAGAGTATATTTTTGGTTGGTTTGCTTGAATGTGAACTCGAATAAGACCTACACATTGTATTTGGTTTTTCTCTCTCTTGTCACCTTTCTTTTCTTCTGTAATGATAATCCTTTTTCTTTCCTCATGCAGTTATTTGTTGAATTTGACCACTTGCTTCATGATATCATTTTTAACTGAATCTGGCTGGCTGCTTCCTCATCTTGTCATTTTTTTTTTTTTTAATTCCCTGAATTTTCTGTAACTGTTAGATGTAGAGGAATGATTTAATTCAGGTTCTTTATTTTTAAAAGAGTTTACTGTTACCTTTTCATGCATCACACCAGGATGTACACAATGATCATCCCACTTTTAGACCAGTGGGTTTAGTCAGATCCCCGCATTATAAAAATTTCCATGAATCCATAATCTAATAGTTTTTCAAATCTAAAAATTTCAGCTGTCTGAATTCATTAATTCGTTAAGATTTCCAAGTGACAATATTTTCAAGTCTATCATTTCTTTTGTACCTATTAGCTGAAATTTTTCTAAAAAAAAATTTCCTTTAGTTACTATTGGGCTATCTAATGTATAGTTCATACAGAAAAGCAGAATAAATACTATAGTCTGTCACTTTATTTTTCAATTCTCAGAGTAAGAAACTGATGTCCTAACAACATCCAATGGTGACCAATGAGTTTGTTTTTGAATATCCTTTTAATAGCTTTTAATTTTCTTTTAAACAAAAAAATTATAGCTCCAAATTAGAATACAACACTTGTTACTGATAAACTGAATCTTACTTTATAATAATATTCTCACAGATTAAATAATTCTAATTACTGATATTGTCTTTGGTTTAGTAACTATTTCTCTCTATAGCATCAGAGAAATAAGTGAACACTCCTATGAGTGGACACCTCACATATATTAAGACAGCACTGGAGGGGTAAACTGGCTATTCTCAGGAGTAAGAGAGGTTCCTCCACTATGAATGGTAAAGAAAGCATAGGCCTGCTTTAAAATCCTAGATGATAGGAAATCAGTATCTATTTGTATCCATGGTACAAGCAAAACATCTTTCTTTTCTTTGAGAGGGGTTTAAAAAACTAAGTTTCACATTGGGCAGATCAGGTCAACCTAACCCTATTTTGCCATGTCCTAAAGCAAATGCGACTGAACTGTTTTAGTTCCTTGAGGGGTTACTGCATATACAGAGACCCTTAACTTCTAAAGCTCATGAAGAAATCCCAAATGTTACACACGAATAAAATTATGAGCAGAAAGTATCTTTAGCTTAACTTAATGATAAGTGTTGTTTCATCCTGTATTTTGCCTGTCTGGGATTAAAAAACAACACAACTAACCTGGGTCCACTTATGGTTATCACTTGTTATTGAATGTACATCACAGATTAAAGTCTAGAAGAAATCAAAAATTTAAGAACACATTAATGCATAGGCATATAAACATATGAAGACATTTAATAAATAAACTTCAAATAAAATCTAAATAATGCTTCTTAAACATCCCTTACCTGCATTGTTGGACGTAAGAGAATGTGCTTACTTTGGTAACCTGGAGATTTCATATTATTGGACTGCCTGTAGTCACGTATTTCTGCTATGACACATCCACAATGAAAAATATTAACCTGTTTTAAGTGAAAATACTTAAGTATCATTTTTTGAAAGCCTAAATAAGTGGGTTTATATTGAATGTTTCAGGTTCTTTACACTCTCATGGAATGTTTCTGGTTACTCAAATACTCTTAAACGGATTTCCTTTGTGGATTTACCACTACATACATACACCCTTTAAAAGGAACTATTTCCTGTTCATCACTCTGACCCAAGAAGCAGTTTAAAACGGTTTCTAGTTATATACTGACATTTAGCATTTGTATTTTGTGTTACAGATCGCTGGAATTGCTGTTTTTCATTGGCTCAGTTATACTTGGCTAATTTTGTCAGTTATTGTCAATCAACCCTGTCAGAGTTTCAGCTTATAGATACAACTGCTATTATCTGCCTGCTAGAATTTCCACAAGACAGTCTTTATTAATAAAAAAAGCTAACTATAAATTAAAATAATCTTCTGTTAAAAATACTGTTTTCTAGCCCTTTTTCTAAGTCCAAAGGTAAGAACCTTTATGGCTTAAGACTTCCTAATTTTCACTTGCCAGTCACTCATAGTATTGTTTTTTTTCACCCATTCAGAATTTTAAATGGGTACAGTGACCAGGCTATCAGTCATCATGTTCATGCTATTTAACAAGTATTTATTGAGTTACTACAATATGAATTATGCACCGGGCACTATCCAAAAAACTTCACAGACACAGTGGTGAGACAACACTTGTTCTCAGTGTGGGAAGACAGGTAATAAACATGCAAACAAATAAAATAATTTTAAATAGTGATGAAAGGAAATAAAACAAGAAGGGGCTAATTTAGATTGTGTGCTGTTATATAAACACCTCTCTGAGGAAGTGATGTTTCAGCTAAGACCTGAATCACAACAGAGCTAGACATTTGGAATAGATCACTCCAGGTAGAAAGAATAGTAGATGAATAAGCTTGACGTGTTTTAGTTTGGAAAGAAGGCATAAATGGCTGGAGTGTAACGAGTGGGGATGAGAATCAGAAGATGAAGACAAACAGGAAAGCAGGGGTTTTGTGCACTGAGAGGACACTAAAGAACTTTAAGCAGGGACCTCTTTTTGTTTTGTAAACTTAATCTGTGGAAGAGTTTATTTCTGGGGTTCTAGAATGGAAGCAGGAACTCCAACAAAGTAATTACAGCAGGTCATGACCATATACTTAAAAAGATACAGCTGACATTTGCTCATGGACTGAGTGTTAAAGGTAAAAGTAGGGTCATCCTTTATATTCAAGACTGGCAACAGACTGGTTTGGGAGATAAAACAAAAAGTTCCCTTGGGAGATTCAAGATGGCAGCAGGCTGAGTGGAAGCTACACTGACACTCTCCTGGGACCAAACTGGAATTATAACTAAAAATATAGAAAAACCATCCTGAATAATCAACTGCAGCTGAAGATGAGCTGGAAAGCACCCTCATAACCAAGGAGGAAAAATGGAGACCACATAGAGACCAGTATGAAGTATGCAGTTGCAAGAGGGCTGGCAAGGCTCCAACAGGCAGCAGCTGAAGGTCCAGAGGGATTTCTCAGCTGTAGAGGTTCCCACTGAGGACTCTGGGGCCTAAACCCCAGGCTAGGCTTCCCAGGCAAGAGCACCAGAAGCAAGAAAGGTGCCCACATAACATCTGGCTGTGAAAAGCAGTAGGGTTTCTGTCTGCCAGGGAGAGAGGAATGGAAATGCAGGAACGCTCTTAAAGGGCTAACGCACGAAGTTTCATGTGTAGCCACTCACCTTGGGCTCCAGCAGAGGGAGGGCACAGTGCACTAGAGCTGTGTGAGGAGAATCTAGGGTTGTGGACTCCGGAGATTGAGATCAGAAGGCACCAGTCTGGATTCCTGTGCCAAGTCATTCCCTCATACTGCAGAGGACATCTTTCTCAGGCAGACAATTGGCTGCTTTTGCCTGGGGTGGGGAAGCAATTGCCCCACCCTGCTGGAAAACCTACTCTATCCAACAAGGCTATCATTCAAGATGAATGATATCAAGGTGAAATAAAAAGCTTTCCAGACAAAAAAAAGGGTAAAGGAGTTTATCACCACCAAACCAGCACTGAAGGAAATGTTAAAGGAACTGCTGTAATTAGAAGTAGAAATAGAGAAACATAGGCATAAAGAATTAAAATGGCAATAGATAAGTATCTATCAATAATAACCTTAAATGTAAATGGATTAAATGTTCCAATAAAAAGATACAGGGTGGCTGAATGGATAAGAAAACATGACCCAAATATATGCTGTCTACAAGAGACCCACCTCAAAACAAAAGACTCACATAGGATGAGAGTGAAGGGATGGGAAATTTTCCATTCAAATGGAAATGAAAAAAAAAAACTGGGGTAGCAATACTCATATCGGACAAAATAGACTTCAAAATGAAGACCATAACGAGAGACAAAAAAACGTCACTACATAATACTAAAGGGATGTATCCAACAAGAGGATATAACCCTGATAAACATTGCATCCAATATAGGACCACCTAAATTTATAAAAAAACTTCTAGAGGACTTTATGGGAGACATCAATAGCAAGACAGTCATAGTAGGGGACTTTAACACTCCACTGATTTCACTGGCTAGGTCTTCCAGACAAAAAAAATGAAGACGGGAACAGTGACCCTAAATGACACACTAGATTAGATGGATTTAATTGATATTTACAGAACCTTCCACCCCAGAGCTGCAGAATATACATTCTTCTTAAGTGCCCATCAACAGATGAGTTGATAAAACCCTGTGGTACATTTACACCATAGAATATTACGCAGCTGTAAAAAAGGACCACTTATCCTTTGGGACAGCATGGAAGGAACTGGAAAATATTATGCTTACCAAAATAAGCCAGTCAGAGAAAAACAAGTACCACAAGATCTCACTCACATGTGGAATGTAATATACAAAATAAACTGATGAACAAAATAGTATCAAAGACATAGAAGCATGGAACAGACTGAGGGATCTCAGAGGGAAGGTAGGGGTGGGGAGTGAGTGGGGAGAGATTAATCAAAGAATTTATATGTCTATAAGTATAACCCATGGACACAGACATTGCTATAGGGAAGGCCTGGGATGGGGTGGATGCGGGGTAGAGGGGATTAATGGGGGGGAAAAGGGGACATCAGTAATACTTTCAAAAATAAAGATAAAAAAATGAAGTTCTGTTTTGTCATGTTAAGTTAAAGAACCTGTTATATATCCTAGTAAATACAGGTTTGCAATGGTAACTGGAAAAGAGATAAGCAAGAAATTAAATGTCATTTTAAAGCTCATGAAGAGGGTTGCGATCACCCAGGGAGAGAGTGTTACTAGAGTGCCTAGGCCTTAACCCAAACCTGAACATATTTATGGGTTGAAGAGTTGACAACAAAGATGACTGAAGCATTGGAGAGAAAACAAGAAAACCACAAATGTGATATCTCAGAAGTGAAAAAGTTATTTCAAGGAAGTAGTCATTTGCACTGAAATTTGCAATGAGACCAAGTTAGATGCAAACAGAAAAGTTTTTTTAAGTGACAGTACAATATGCCTGCATTTTTTAACTAAGAGAGGAAAATAGATGATAGAAGAGAGGGAGGGAGGTTACAGTAGCAAATCACTAAAAAGGAGGAGGACCCAGAAAAGAAGTGAAGATGTCGCCTTAGGAATGGCTTACTTCATCCATTTTAACAGGAAGGCAAGCAGAAAGTATGGACAGAGATGTGGGATGCTGGTAGACTAGGAAGAAAACATCTATTACCACTCATCTGATGGCTTCCTTTTCCTCAGTAAAGAACATAGTATAGCTGGGGTGAAGCCAAGAGATTAAGTAGTTTCTTCCATAACTTCTTGATTGTAGCTAAAGGGAGATTTCCAGTGGATGAGCTAATTTTCATAGCGATTTTAGAAGAATCAACTAAATCTACACATTTCAGTTGTAGACTAAAGGATAAATATCCCACAATAAACCAATTTTCATATAGCTTCTGATAATGTTTCATTTCATATTCTAAGCACTATCGAGAAAACATATAAATATCCTTTATTACAAAACAACATATAGTTGAGAAATCTAAGGACATTTTTAAAAGAAAAAAACTGCACCTGAGATTTTTCTAGGAGATCAACCAAGATAGGAGGCAATTCTTCTGCATCCAAGTATTCAAGCAATTCTCCTTCTTCATAAGGCAGTCGAATGGTCTCAGAATCTTAATTTTAAAAAAAAAGTTTCTGAAAATTATGAGGCTCACAGAAAAGCCTAGGTGCATAATCTAAATAAGTTTAGAAAACAAAAGAGAGAATAAAGCCAAAAGGCTCTCCTAAAGTCCTTCTTTATGTACGGATTATAAAAGAATCAGTTTACATATTGCTAAAAGACTATTAACTGCATAGAATTTTATATCAGAAGGGAGAAAACTGCCTAACATCTCATAGAAAAACATCTTTTTTTTTTTTTTTAAACATATCTTTATTGATTTCAGAGAGAGGAAAGGAGGGGGGGGAGAGAGAGAAACATCAATGATGAGAGAGTCATTGATCGAGCCCGAAACCCGGGCATGTGCCCTGACCGGGAACCGAATCCCGATCGCCTGGATCCTAGGTCAATGCTCAACCGCTGAGCCACGCCCGGCCGGGCTCTCACAGAAAAACATCTAGCATAATAAACACAATACAAATCACAGCCAGCAGTGCAATAATCAGAATATGATAAAATTCCATCTGGTAATTGCAAAGTCCTCAAAGACTGCTTAATCTAATCTGGAAATCAGCGATAATTTGGTACCTAATCTGAAAAATGGTTATTTATAGAACAAAATTCTCTTGGTGTAACATTTTACAATTATCAACACAAGAAAAAATCCTTAACCAGGTGAGTTCCTTATAGAACTCACATCATCATATCAAATTTTTTGATGGCTTTTTAGTGAAATCTAAGGTTACTTATGTTTTAAAACTCTTATATTCACATTAATAAAATGTTAACATATGTAAATTACTCAAAAGGCAGTAAGTCTGCTTAATTTTGAAAGTTTCAGACCCAGAGTACATTCAAAATGTAGAAGAAAAACATACCTTAAAACACTTTATGCTATCTTAAAATATTAATGGCAAGAGAATGAAAGAAGTTTTGAATAATTATTTTAAAATTACATCTTTTATAAAAATTTAACTACAGTGACCTGTCTCAATCAAAACACTCCTCAAATGCATATTTCAGGAAGGTTAATCATATTAGAGATAATTTCTAGTATTAAAATAAAATGTCATATAGAGGAAAATTTGGGATCGAAGTCTTCTTTTATTAAGCAGGTTAAGAAAACACTTCTAAAAGACAGCACATCCTGCCAGGCAGAGGGACTTTTGTAGATGATGCCCTCTGGAGGTTCTTACCTGATCCATTTTTCCCCCTGAGCATCAAAGAATATCCCTCATTTCCTGGGTATAGGTTGACCACTAAACATGACAATGTCTCTTGCATGACAAGCTTCTCTAACAAGTTCACATTTCTTCTTAATTTCTGCTTTAAAAAGAGGCAGAGCTCATGAAAACAATCCAGCATAACCTTAACAAATAATACTATGATTTAACAAAAGCAGACCTGAATTAATCTTTTGGTGTTCATTCCACATTACGATGCTGAATACACAGGGAAGATTCACAAACATTATAGCCATCAAGTACACAATATCTATGTAAACTTAATTATCTATTGCTATGTATTATGCAAATTAATTTGTATCACAAAGAAAAACCAGTGACCTATCTATAAAACAATAAAAAAGTGAAATAATTCTATATAAGTGAATGAAGAATTCGGGGCATTCTCTTTGGTTGTATTGTTACTGATACAGGTGCACATTTCTTAAATATTTTATGGTCTAAATTAATTCAAACAAGTTCAACAGCTCAAATTTGCTGAATGTTAAAATCAAAAATATCTAATTGCTAAGAAGTGGGCAATTAAAACAATTTTCTGTAAATTCAATTTATCTACTCCTTAAAAACTACTTTGTTAGAAAACAATCCATCAGAGCCCTGGCAAAGGAGCTCAGTTTGTTAGAGCATTGTCCCAATATGCCAAGGTTGTGGGTTTGATCTTGGTCAGGGCACATACAAGAATCAACCAATGAATGCATAAATAAGTGGAACAACAAATCAGTGTTTCTCTCCCTTCTTCTCTTAAAAAAAAAAAAAAAAAAAAAACAAAAAAAAAACACCAAACACCAGAAAATGTAATACACATATATCAAAATCCATTTTCGAAATGCACATGATTTAAAATAAAACCCAGCTGACAACACTAAATCCACTGAACCACACTGGCCAGATGAAATAAACTATTCTTAAAAAAAAAAAAAAAAAGTTACTCAGGCCCTGGCTGGGTTGCTCAGTTGGTTAGAGCATCATCCCAATACATCAAGGTTGTAGGTTCAATCCCCAGTGAGAGTACAGCCAGGGCAGATACAAGAACCAACCAATGAAAGCATAAGTAAGTGGAACAGCCAATCAATATTTCTCTCTCTCCCTTCCTCCCTCTTTCTAAAAGGGAATGGAAAAAGTCAATGGAAAAAAATAAAATTAAAATAAAATAAAACCCAATTACAGATACGATTCTTGTCATGAAATCTTATTTGTGAAAGACATCAGTTAATAGAATACTGTATTTATTTTTGCATGATTTCAAATAACATGTTTTGAGTATCTTATATTAAAGATGTATAGTCATATGCAGAGAGAAATTATAAGTTCTTGAGCTACTGTCACCATAGAATCAAAACACTGCATTTTCAAATTTGAAAAAGTGGTAAAACAACTTTTAACCACTTTGATATTAAAAAAAAACTAGCAAAGAGACTAAAATTTTAAAGTCTTTTCAAGTGTAGGGAAAAAAACCTCACAATCTGACATAAGACAGAATAGTTAGATAAATTTTGACAATATGAATACTCTTCAAGAAAACAAGTTTGGCCCTGGATGGTTTGGCTCAATTGGCTGGAGCATCATGGTACCAGACACCAAAAGGTGGTGGGTCCGATCACCAGTCAGGGCAAGTGCAGGAGGCAACTGATTCATGTTTCTCACACTGATATTTCTCTATCTCTCTCTTTCTCTGTCTTCCTTTCTCTAAAATCAATTAAAAAAACAAAACAAAAACAAAACAAGTTGGTTCCCGCGTAGTTCTGGAGTGAGCATACAGATTAGAAGACAGAAAATTTCTTAAAGGACAAGTTAGTACCATAGGCTTGTGGGCCATATAGTCTATGTTGCTCAGCTCTGTCATTGCATTGTAAAATCAGCCATAGAGAAGATATAATAAGCCAATGGGTGTCACTGGATTCCAACACAATTTTATTTACAAAACACACAGTGGGCCAGATTTGGCTGGTGGACAGTGGTTGCCAACCCCAGTGCAGAATCTTTATTTATGTATCTCTCCTATCTTAGTTCTGTCTGAAGTGCAGAACATGTTCATTAAATTGATTATAGTGATAGTTTCATGGGCATATACATGTCAAAATTTATTAAATGTATATTTTAACCACTGTATTATTAATGTGAAATTTATTATACATCAATTATACCTCAATAAAACTTATGCAAAACATACTGTAAGATTTATTTATAGTTTAACAATAATTTTTCTCCTAATGTGAAGATTTCAAAGGTTAGATACTATGGGAATTCCTAAAAGGTAAAATGATATTCATTTTTAAAGACAGATAACAGAAACTCGTACAGCCCTTTAAGATCCTTACAACCTAAAGGTACAATAAGTATCAATAAATCAATTTCTATTATATTTCAACTGCTCACACTTTTATGCTAAATACAAATAAATTTAACCCAGCCATGAACTAATTTTTGTGACCAAATTCATCTTTTATTACCACATCGGATTTTCCTACTTGCTCTATAATAGCTTTAACTTTTCAATACAAATCACCATGAGGAAATAGATTACTTTTCTCCTATCTTCAATCTACAAATAATTTCTCAGGAGGAAAAAGAAACCTCCTTTTGCCCCACCCAATATATACAGTGGCTTTGCTTCTTCTGACTTCCCAATGGGATATTCTGTTACTCAGTAAACACTTTTCCCATCTCCTACCTAAGCATATGATCTCTACCTTGTAGCCAGAGCTCTGGGTCAATTATAAAACTGGATAGAATCTGGCTGGTAAAATGTTAGCTCATTCACAAAAGTATACATCAATATCTGCTTCAAATGTAACTCCTTCAAATTTCCCTCTTCCTCTACATTTCAAGAGCAGTAACAATATAAAAAATGTACACTTACCTTAACTTCAGGCTCTTTTTCACATTCTTCAATATATAAGTCATAAAGTTTTTGAAATACAGATTTTCTAAAATTTAATAAAACAAAGACAATATGCAAAATAATGTGAATACAATAATCATTGTAAAATAAATGTTACTGAATTTTCTCATAATTTTTTTTCCAATTTTCCAAAGACTGGGGGTGAAGTGGACATGATAGCTAACATAAACTAAGAAAGTTCTAATGTATGCAAAATACCTGTAATATAACATTTCTAGCACAGCGCTTATTTAAAATTTAATAAATGGTGGCTCTCAGCACATTTCAATGAATCTAATATGTAATCAATTAAGTATTCATACCTTCCACTAGATAAGTATTTCCTTTTAGGAGGTCTCTGTCGGGCACTTTCAATGACATACTAAAAAAGAAAAGTTTATGAAATAGCTTGCCTTTTGCTCAGTGAATGAACACTGTATTAAGTATACTTAAAACACATATAAGGCTAAAAAGGCTATTCAGTCACTAAAGTCTCTGATTCCTATTAAATTATACCTTGTAGGAAAAACTATTTAACTTCTAAATATGCTATGAATGAAATTTAAACTGCACTAAAATTTAGCACAATATTCATTGCTATGATATAAGCAAAATCATAAAGCTTTACAATTGTGATTTCACAAGTCAGAAATATTCGCTGTATGTTTTATGGTTGTTCAGAATATGCAGAGCATATCCAATTGCAAGTACTGTATATATTTTTTCAGCTATTTGTCCCTTGAACTGAGCAATAAGAAAACTTGTCAAAACAGGAAAACATGATTTTAGAAATTCTATGTCCTTGTTTAAATAATATTAATACTGCAGCATTATTTAATTTTTATTCTACAGCATTATTATCTGAGGATTTCAAGTAACAGATGATTCAAATATCATCTGCTACTTTCATACATTTACAGCAAAATTATTTGCATACTTGTCCTAAAATATTAATGTACTATTTTGACATCAGATAAAAATCTTTAAAAACTGAGTTTTGTCAATTAACATCAACACTATATCAATATATAACTTAGTCAAGCCTCACCTCCGCACGATCCAAAGCTAGTTCTAAAGCTTGTTGCTGTGAAAAGTAAATAGTGTATTTGGTAATATTAGTTATTTTCACAAAAAAATGTAATATACACATAACATTTGTAATTGTTTAATTTTCTAAAATAAGTCTAATATATTTCCCTTTCTCTCCTCCATATATTGCATGCTCAATATATATTATAAAGAAAAGATCAGGCACCTGATTATGACAACAAATTAGATAAGAAATGCTAAAATAGCTTTTTCTGGCCAGGGCTTGAGGCTGATACAGAGCCATGGAATAGATATAGTAACTACAACCGTTTCATAAACTTTAACTTCTTCAATGTTCTAAGAGCACCATTCAGTAAAAAATATATTGGACATCAAGTATGCAATTCAAGTAAAGCAAAGACTAAACTCTCCTAATCTGATAAGAATCCTGAAAATTTAGGTGCTATTATGTTGGTACCTAACATCAACTTAGAAATTCCTAATATATTAACATAGAGAATCTTTAACATGTTTTTAGGTCAGTGCCTAGTAGAAATGCAATAAATAATGGCTAATTATCATGTCTGAATGACTTTAAGACACCATCAACTATAAGCACACATCATTCATTTAGGTAACATTAAGAAAAATGTGCCACCAATTATAATTGTAAGATGTCATTGATTGTAGACTTATCCTCAAATCAGTAATATTAGAATGTAAAAAAGAATGTATCTTAGAGTTGATAAAACATAGTATTATTAGAACATGTACAATTTAAGATCACTAATAGACTCCCATCCTTCATCCATTACTTGGAGACCCTTATTTTAAGGCAGGGAAGAGAAATAAGATAACCTCATATCTTCCCCATCTGTAAAGTTTCTTTTGTAAGGATACCTAAAAATAAAAAGTACTGGTTTTAAACAAAATTAAGCAAATATACTATCACGGATTTCTCTTGCTAGTTTTGTGATTTGGGTACTACACAGGGTTATTGTATTTTTTATTCACAATGATAGTAACTTTTAATTCTACTGATAGGCACAGAACTTTCATTTTTTTATTTACAAGAATCTAAATTTTTCTGTTTTATTTTGTAGACTCCAACAATTAACTTACCAAGTTACATGGAGTAAAAACTCTCAGCACCCACCAAAATCCCAAGAGGGTAAAGAGAAGAATAAATATTGCCAGACTTTTGAAATCATGTAAAGGTTTAAGTGGCCCTGCCACCCTAGTCCTAAGGATGAGGAAATCATGATTACAAAAATAGCTGGCCTTTTAATTTAGACTGCAATAAAAAACAACCCACATTATCAAACATCTAAAATGTAGTAAGTGAAAAAAGTATGAAATATATAATTTCAAAAGGTTCAGTTTAAAATAAATTTATACCAACTCATTAAAAAAATCTTATAAGGGTCAGATTCCCAACAAAACTGGGCAAGATGACATTCCTGAGTATAAAGTATTTTCCAGCACAAACACATAATTCTGGATATATACACTTGACAAACACATAAGGTTCTTTTAATTATTGTGGCTCTAAAACCTTAAAGTTTATATAAAAAAGTTATAATAAACACAAATATACACTCTATGATAATTTTAAATAGCCAATCTTCTCAGGTAAATATTTACTTCTGTAATCAAAATTTCAAAAGGTTCAGTGAGATATACCTACATATGTAAATATAAGCATCATTTATACACTACATCCTTCAAATACTTTAGAAAGAAGTGATTAGTTAATATGGATACAAAATAAAGCAAGGTCTGTACCTCACTGTAATAGCTCTACTTATCTGTAATAGAGTAGGGGTAGAGAGGCAAGATCCCAAAAGAAGAAAGTGGTTGTTTTCTGAGGTTAATTCAACATAGTGGTCAGTGTTCATTTATCCTTGTACTGTCAAATACTGCTGCTTCTTTAAAACATTAGAAACTGTTTTTTCCCCTTTGTCTTTAATTTTTTAGTGATAAAAGTTAAATGTCCAGCCCTAAGTATGTTGAGTGAACAGAAATGTGCCATCAGAAGACTAAAACTCATGCTCTTAAATGTTATTTACAGTAAGCAGGTTACATTTGTTTAAAAAAAATTTTTTTAATCTAAATTAAGAGGAACTTTAAAACATGAGAAACCTCCCAAACTACTTGTATTTATAACCATCCTCCTTGCCAATGATTTGGACTATGGTAAACAGAAGTATGTATTTTTTAATATTTCACAAAGATAAAGAGAGGTGGATTATCTGTATAACCAGATAGAATAATTTTAACACAGAATTGAGAGATCATCCCCTATTTTGTGGAAAAAATTTTGCATGTGACTACTAAGTAATTTCCCAGTTAGGAAACTTGAATAGGCTACAAGAGGACTTCTGTATCTATAACACATATATTTTTACAGAGATAAAGGAAGAGAACAATCTAAAACGCAAATATCAACATACTGAGCTTACCATTGTGGTATAAAATAGAGATCCAAAAAGAAAACTTAACTGCGTTGATGAAGTAGCGTGAAAACCATGTTTTTAATATCAATTTTATAGCGCTGTAAAAGCAAAAACAAAACCCCCATATTAACATAAACTTATCAAGAGAAATGAGATAATACAGGTATATGTTTTTCTAACACACTATCTAATAATCAGCAACGATGAAATTCATGTACCACAATCTATCCATTCAGTGTTGAAAAGTAGAGTTTTAACTAGGTAGGGCAAAATACAGTTTGCAACTTAAAATGATTACTTTCTTAAAAAATATTTAACATCCAGGAGAGAAAAGAACAAAAGTTCACTGTTGCTGCTCTCATTATTCCTCTGGATTACTGTAACCACCTGCCACTGGCCTTGATTGCTGTACAGATCACTTTATAAATCATATATTTCATCATACCTGCTGGTAATTCCCCCAAATGCCCTAGGCTACGTTTTCCAGATGCAGCTCTATTCCCTCCAGCCCTTTCCTGCAAGCAAACTGGATACACTCCTGAAGAATCTCATTTCTCTTAACTCAAGGGTTCTCATTATGGCTGCAAAACAGAATACCAGGGTAGCTTTAAAAAGTGGAATACCCAGGCACCACACTCCATATTCTCATTAACTGATCTGTAGCGGAGCCCAGGGATCAGCATTTTTGGAACTCCCCAAGTGATTCAAAGGTGCTGTCAGGGTTGAAGTCCACTGCAGTATCCTCTCTGCCTCCAACAGCGATGGTGCATATCTGCTCTGAGTGATGCTAAATAAATCAAGCTTATTTTTTATTGAAATCTTTACCTATCTCCTTGTAACCTGTGTGTCTGTCTATACAGGTGAGCTAAAAGCACATCTTCAAATGAGAGAAAACAGTATTTTCCACATAAAATTCTTCTGGTTTGTTTTGCTGAACCCAAATCTTAGGTTTTGCCAGTTTAGGTTTATTAAAAAAGGGGTGGGGGTGGGGGTTGGGAGAAAACAGGAGGGGAAAAAAAGACCCAAACTACGAATAATCATTTAAAACATCATTAAGACATTAATCCTACCCTTCAAGAGCTCATAGGAGATTTACTATGAGTTCAAGTTAAGATGAAAAATTTCTGATCATATCTAATGGCGTCTCGGTCTTTTGGCTAAGATCAAGTGTAAAATTAGATCTCTTGTCACTGAATTGGGAAAATGGGGGTGAGGAAGGTTTAGTGACTTTAAATTATTTAAGTATTACAGACGAAAACCAATTACTACCGCTTACTGTATACTGGATATACATACTAGAAGTCTGTGAGAAAAACCACTGTAATCATCGTCTATAGAATAAGGCGCTCAGAAACAGTGAATTTCCCAAGCTCACATTACACTGTAATTCAGACCACTATCATTTTTTAATCTTAGATTCTTTCTACTAAATCTTACAACCTTCAGACCAATCAATCCACCAACTGTTTTTTAGATTTTTAAAAGCAAAACATTTAAAATAAAGACCCGATTCTGCTCAGATTAACATAATTATTTTTCTTAATTTTGCTGTAAGTTTACACCATGGTTATCAACCACCGTACTGTACTTAATCTAACCTGGAAAATCTTGCTAAACACCTATTTCGAGTCCTACCAGGGACTTTAATGTATTGTACTCAAGGAAACACAGCTCCTCCCCACACGGTGGTTACGGGAGATGGCTTCCAGAGGAAGCTGCATCGCCAAGACCGTTTCTGAACTCCCGGTAACCATGGCGAGGACCAGTAATTAATAAAATTGTAACGTCGCAATCGATTCCATTGATTTCTCTAATCGACCTGAGTTCCTTCCAACTGCTGGAGCCTATGTAACATCTTAGGCTTTACCTGGAAAACGCCGCAACTCAAAAGCGAAGGGAACAGCCTTTATTCAATATGGACACCCAGAAACCCGCCCCGAAGAAGCAATACGCGAAATTACTGCGCGTTTCAAAATACCTGTAACTGGAACTCAAAAGTCAAAAACAAAATGAAAAGCGTGTTTGGTAGCATGTGAGAGTCAACGGAGAAGGCAGCCAGGACGGCCGCCGGCTCCGCCCGACCTGCGTCTCCGGGGACACCGTCTCAGTTCCCCGGCCTCCGGAAAGCGACGAAAAGCCACTCGGGAAGCCGCTCGCTCACCTCTGACCCCGGTCAGCTCTCGCGCGACTACGCGGCTCACTGCCTCCCACCTGCGCAGGCAGATCCCCTGCTGAGACTCAGGACCATGCCACAGGCTCGGCCAGAACGCTATGTGAGGGATTGTGCCTGGCCGGCGCCCGCGCGCCCACCTGCCCCTTACTCCTCAAGGCCCTCTAGCTGGCGCAGCGCGGCGCGGCGCCTCAGCCAAGTCCCGGGCCTGTTCGAGCGCCCACGCTTCCGCCTGGCGTGCTGGGCGGTGCGCTGGTGACAACGGGCGGAAGAGGTGGAGCGGAGAGGCTGGGTGGGTGATGAGGCTGGGTGCCAGAGGCTGGTCCGCGCTAGCATCTGCGGATTCTGGTCCCTGCAGGCCTAGGGTCCAGGTCTGTAATGTGCGAGGTAGTGTTACAGGCACCTCTCACAGACATCAAGAGACATGTTATGGGACAACCCCCTGAGTCAGAGGGAGAGAACTGTTCCTACCTCGGTCTTGTCGCCCTCTATAAATGAATTTAAAGGAGAGCCCTAATTGTGTTGTTTTCAAAACTTGAAGCATGCGCCTTTATTGAAGAAGCAAGGCAAGCAAATCTATACATCTGGTTTATGCAGTGCTGATGCGCTGTAGCTAATCTAAAGAGCTGGGGGGGGGGTTCTGCTTTATATACCCCCGTCTATAAGTTTGTTTTTAACAATTTAAACTTTATATTATTATTATTTGTACACCCCAGTGACCAGTCATTACATGACTTAATAGATGATCATCCCAATAATTCCTGCACCCATTCAGCACCACGCCTAATTATAATATTATTGACTATATTCCCTGTGCGATTTTAAATTATTCTGTTAGATATCCTGGTACAGATTAACTCTGAAGGTCTCCACTTTTCTTTGTTATGACGTTTCCATAATTTATGAGAAGCACCTGGCAATTAAATCCTGAGACTGTTGGCTTCTCTGTTTAAACAGTGGGATGAGATAAAACTGCACTCCTCCCCCTCCTCTCTGCTGTCTTTTAGTTGGTTTTAGGGTGATTTAAATTATGTATGTATTCTTGCCCTGGCTGGTGGTGCTCAGTGGTTAGAGGGTTGGCCCGTGGACGGAATAGTTGTGGGTTCAATTTTCAGTCAAGGGCATGTGCCTGGGTTGCAGGTTTGATCCCCAGCAAGGTCTCAAGGTCCATGTGCATGCAGGAGGCAACCAATGGATGTGTCTCTCTCACATTGATGTTTCTCTCTCTCTCTCCCCACCTCTCTCTGTCCGTCCCTCCCTTCGACTCCCTCTAAAAACCAATGAAAAAAATATCCCCCGGTGAGGATTAACTAAAAATAAAAATAAAAATAAATTATGTATTATCTGGTTGCATTAAGATTCCTCCTCCTTTCCCTCTTCCCTTCCCAATCCTCTCTCCTTCCTGCATCCTTTTGTGAGAAGGAGAGGCTTTAATCCTTTGTCCTTAAGGTACAGTCCTGCTATAAGCAGCCTGCAAAACTTTTTGGCTTTAATTTTCCTGTCTCAGTTTCCCTATACCACTTGTCCTGAAATTTTTCTAGCTTTTCATTGTCCTATAACAGTAGGATGTGGCTATTTTTTGAGGTGTAGGGTGCCCTGTTGAATTTCTAGGGTGAAAGAAACTTGGGACTAATTTTCTTGTCGCCCAGCCCATCCAATAGAAAGGGAATGACATGATTCCTACATTTACTAGTCCAAGCCATGCAGCCTTTGATAGTATATCAAGTGCCAATAAATTTAATGTTGAGGAAAAAACCAAACAACCTCACTGGACAGTTTTTAAAATTCAGAAACTGAATAACCAGCACACATTGCAATATCTGTAATTCTACACCTTTAAACAACTTTGGCTGTTGGATTATAAACTTTTAAGAAATGTTATTGAGGTGAAGTTCACAGAACATGAAATGAAACATTTTGAACTGTACAATTCAGTAGTGTTTAGTACATTCACAATGTTGTTCAACCACCAACTCTGTCTAGTTCCAAAATATTTTTTTATCATCCCCCCATTAAGCACTTATTCTCCTTTCTTTCCTCTCCCAGGCTCTAGCAGACACCAAATTCTTTCAGACTCTACAGATTTACCTAATCTGGATAGTTCACATAAATGAAATATGTAATCTTTTTGTGTCTGTCTTTCACTCAGCATAATGTTTTACAGGTCCATTAACCTTGTAGTAAGTATCAGTATTTCATTCCTTTTTATGGCTAATATTCTGTTCCACTAGATGTATATACCACAATTTTAACCATCCATTGATGGACATTTGGATTGTTTACACCTTTGAGCTGTTGTGAATAGTGCTGCTATGAATATTCGTGTGGAAGTATGTGTCAGTTCTTTTGTGTATATACTATTAAAGAAAACCAGAGCCTGGCAGTTGTTTAAGTGGTAATAACTTTCTTATTTTATTCAGGAACTATTGCAATTAGGGGAAGAGAGACCTCAATATAGAACTGTACCCAGGTCCAAATACAGCATGAGCAAGTGAAGATTTAGAGCCAAGGAGCAGGGTGGGGTCAGTGGATGGAAATTTCCTAAAAGGAAATATCAGGTGTAAGGGGGCATTCTGACTAAACATACTTGACAGAATTCTGACTCGAAGCAGATCAGGCTGATCAGATTTCAAGAAGTGGGGATGGGCGGGGGGATGAAAAAATTGATCAGGTGTTGAAGAGTGAACAGATATCAAGGCGGACATTCTCTCTAAAGTGATTTAGCAGGATTCCTGCTACAAATGGTTGATGCAGGTCCCATAAAGTGGATACTGGCTTAGAGAAGCCTGGCTAAAGTTTAGTGAAGGAGAGACTGCTGATCAATATGTACCTAGAAATGGAATTGCTGAGTCATATTTTCATGCTTAATATTTGAGGAATTGATAAACTGTTTCTACAGTGGCTGAGACATTTTACATACTAATAGCAACATACTGTAGTTCCAATTTCTCCACATCCTCCCCTACACTTGCTTTTAAAATTATTTTTTATAGCCATCCTAGTAGATATAAAATGATATTTCATTCTGATTTTGATTTGCATTTCCTTAATGTTGTGCATCTTTTCATGCCTTTGTTGGCTATTTGTCTATCTTCTTTGGAGACCTGTCTATTCAAGTCTGTTGCCCATTTTTTAATTGGGTGGTTTATCTTTTTGTTAAGTTATGAGTTCTTTATATATATGGATACTAGAACCTTATCAGATATATATCAGTTGCAAATATTTTTCCCCATTCTGTAGGTTGTCTTTTCATTTTCTTGCTAATGCCCTTTGATGATAAAACTTAAATGGTCTAATTCATCTATTTTTTTTTTCTCTTGTGGCTTGTGCTTTTAGTGTCATACTTAAGAATCCATTGCCAAATCCAAGTTTGTCAAAAAAACAAATTCTGCACACTGAGTAAAACAAAGCAGAACGGACTTTATTACAAGTTTCTACCGACAAGCCTGGAATCTCAAGACTAGGGAGCAATGAGTTTCAAGTTGCTCATAGACTAAAGGGTTTTTATGGGGTAAATGTGGAAGTATTTGTTTTTTTTCAACTTATTTTTTGCCTAGTAGTCTTCTTTATTTGTATCAAGGTAGCCGAGTCAAAAGAAGAGAAAGTCCAAAGATGGCATGAACAGAGTTGGTGTGTGGGGCTTAGCTGGCATCCTGTCCTGACTTTTCAGAAGAGCTATAAATCCTGGAACTTGTGTGATAGGGGCCCCATTTCATTCTTTTGCATGTTGTCCCAGAGCCATTTGTTGATGAGACTATTTTCCCCCTCAGTGAATGGTCTTGACATCCTTGTCAAGAATCAGTTGTCCATAGATGTATGGGTTTGTTTCTGGACTGTTAATTCTATTTCATTTGTCTAGATGATTATCTTATATCATTACCATACTGTTTTGAGTACAGTAGCTTTGTAGTAAGTTTTGAAATTGAGAAGTCCTCCAGTTTTGTTCTTTTCCTCCAATATTGTTTTGGCTATTCAGACCCTCTTGCAATTTTATATGAATTTGATGATCAGCTTTTCTGTTTGTAAAAAAAGCCACTGGGGTTTTGATGGGTATTGCGTTGAATCAGTAGATCACTTTCACAGGTATTGGTATCTTAAAATATTAAGTCCTCTAATCCATGAGCATGATGTCTTTCCATTTATTTAGGTATTTAATTTCTTTCAGCAATGTTATATATTTTTCAGTATATAAGTATTTAATCTCCTTAGTTAAATTTACCTAGTTATTTCATTTTTTGGAAAGCTGTCTTAGTCTGCTTGGATTCCTATAACAAAATATCACAGATTGGGCACCTGAAATAACAGAAATTTCTGTCTTACCATTCTGGAGGCTGAGGGGTCCAAGATTAGGTCTTGGCTGATTTGATTTCTGGTGAGAGTTTTCTTCCTCTCTTGTAGACAGCTGTCTTTGCACTAGGTTCTCCCATAATGGGGAAGAAGAGTGAAGGAGGGGGAAGAGAGTGAGCGCTGGTGTGTCTTTTTATAAGTGTTACTGGTGCCTTGGGGTCTTGCCATATCCCAGGATAGAAGTCAAAAGAGATCACCAGGGTCTAATATAGAGCTTAATGCATTAGACAGGAATAGAAGAAGCCAGGTCTCCCACATGGCAGGCAAGAATCATACCATTGACCTATCCTGGGTTCTTAGGAACTCCTAAGGTAGAAATCAAGAGAGTTCTCTAATAATAAAGTAGTACTTAGGTGAGAGGTTTATTGTATATAGCCCATGTGCCTAGGGAGAAAGAGAAATGTTGCTCTCCAAACAAAAGCTGGGGAACAGTTTTAAAGCAGTTGAGGTAGGAAAGATGATGTCTTAAGTGTGATGTCTAAATATATAGAGTTGGGGACTCTTTGGTGCTTGCACAGTACAGTACACCCTTCTTCAAGCTTTGCATGCTTCATTAGCATGTTAAATCTCTACACAGGGGTGTGTTTTTTAGCATTTAAATGAGGGAAGGTCATGGAAAGGACATCTTTCTTGCTAGCACATATG